GGAATTAAAATCGATTACTTTTTAATCCGGGCGCGGATTGAACCGATTAAAACCGATTAAAATCGATTAAAACGGATTACGTTTTAATCAGTTTTAATCGAACATTTTCAGCAGGGTCGCTCCAGAGGGCAATACGAAGATTCCTCCCCCCCCCTTCTCCAATAAAAAAACATATATATTAAGTAATATATTAATATAGACACAGATTTTAGACAAACACATGAAAATATAAACAACTTCTAAAATTTACATTTTCAAATCTTTATGAATATTCAAAATCCAATTTGCTTGTATATATTTTATTACACATTGAAGGACGTTTCTCTATTTCAACCCAAGTAATAGTAACTTTAAAAATCTGCAGTACCAAATTTAAAAATAAAGCTTAAGTTGTATTACAATTTTCATACGTAAGGTGCCTAACACTACAAAATGCGTGATATCAGAACAAAAACTTTTACCTTTTCAAAAAAAGATAAAAAAGGCACTAAGAGTACGCGCTCCTAAATAAACTGTTGTATCAAATTAAAAAATTAAAAATGGTATTGTGATATTTTAATCAACTCAAGTGATATGTACCTAAAAAGAACTTAAATCAAGTTAAATCCAACAAAAGATTTGATATCAATAACTTGCGCCAAATTACAATATCCTATAAAAAAACTTCAAAAGTAAAGATTTTGAAAAAATATAATCTATGTGGTATGTATCTTTATATTGTATAAAGATCTTTCTTTTCCAATCGAAGTAGCTTTAATTTTTTGTAAAATTGTGTTACCTTATTCAATGCGAGTGATATGTAATATCTTCTCGAAAAAAAACTGTTCTATTAAATTAATAAATAAAAGCCAAATGATACTATTTTTTATCTTTGTGCATTAAAAAGTGACAGTAGTGCACTATGAAATGAAAGAGATTTCATCACAAAGAATTAAAAAAAAATATTATTTTTAATATGAATTGTTATACTTTAAAAAAAATAAAACACTATTGGCACATACCATTGTACCTATTCAACTCTTCCAATTCCAAATGGTAATAGTTATTTAATTCTTCTTTAAAATATTATTACATCAAAAAATGTGTTTTACTTTACTTAACTCAAGTCAAAGATTAAAGAAATAACATAAAATAAGAAAAAATTTTAATTTAAGAAAAAAGTTTTTTATGTAAAAACATTTACTATAAAATGCATATTCATATTAAAAATATTTTCTTTTTTAATTCTTTGTGATGAAATCTCTTTCATTCCATAATACACTACTACCACTTAGATTTTAATGCATAAAGATGAAAGATTGTATGATTTGGCTTTTATTTATTAATGTGATAGAACTGTTTTTTTTCGAGGAGATATTACATATCACTCGGATTGAATAAAATAACACAATTTTGCAAAAAATTAAAGCTACTACTACTTCGGTTGGAAAAAAATGATCTTTATACAATACAAAAGATAAATACCACATAGGTTTTATTTTTTTTAAATCTTTTAAGGTTTTTTTTATAGAATTGTAATTTGGTGTCAGTTATTGATATCAAATTTTTTGTTGGATTTAACTTAATACAAATTCTTTTTAGGTACATATCACTTGGGTTGAATAAAATATCACAATACCACTTTTATTTTTTTAATTTGATACAACAGTTTTTTTTTTAGGAACGCGTGCTCTTAATGCCTTTTTTTACCTTTTTTAAAAAAGATAATTTTGTACTAATAATAAGACACCGTACATAATTTTTATTTAACTTGACGCTATTTACTGATATCAAGTCATTTATACAGGTAATAGTAATATACATATCACTGAGTAAAGTTAGTTAACATCAAAGTACAAAGAAGGATACCATTAGATCGGAAGA